TCCTGCGGGAGGCCGAAGCGGCCGTAGGGGTTTTGCTGCCTGCTGAGCCAGCGGACAATTTGGGAGGCAGTCCCCATGTCGGCAGATGACACTTGGGGCTGGGAGAGGTAAGCCAGGAGGACGTAGGCGGTCATCTCCACCTCTGCCGGCGCGGCGGCAGCCCAGGAGGTCTGCGAGAGGGGCAGAGCCTTCCCCTTCCTCCGCCAGTAGAGCTGCCCCCCTGGGAGAGAAGGGGGCAGGAGCTCAGCCCCTCGCTCGGGAGGTCCCCGGGGGTGGTGTGGGGTGACCCAGGCAGAGGGTGGCACTGCCCAGGGGTGCCCCTGCCCGCGCCGGGTGGTACCTGAGCTGACGCTGTGCTGGGCCAGGCGCTGCAGTTGGGCTTGCTGCTGCTCCCTGCGCCCCGCCAGCCCGAAGACGTAGGCGAGCAGCGCCTGCGTGTAGGGGTCATCCGTGGCCGAAGCCTCCAGGCACCGCAGGGCTGAGCTCACCCTCGGGTCCTGGCGCGGGAGCGGAGTCAGAAACCAGCCCACGGGTGTGGGCATCACCCAGAGACCCCAATCCTGCTCCGTGCAACTGGTTGCGCCCAGGTTGGGCTAGGAGGTGGCCTGGAAGAGCCGGACTCCCTGCCCAAGATGGGATCATCCTCACCGTTGGGGACAGCCCCAGCTCCAGCATCGCAGCCGTGACATAAGCCGACAGCGAGAGCTTATCCGAGATGCCACCCTGCAAAGGGGACAGCGGGAGACGGGTCCGGCCATGCCGTACCACCAGCACAGGGACTCCCCCACTGCCTAGACCCCACACTGGGGACGTGCTGGGGCCAGCCTGGCTCTGGTTGCGTGTCCCCATGTCCCACCCCAGCCCAGCCACCCACCTGCAGGGCGTTGTTGAAGAGCTTCCCCACGCTGCGGAAACAGCCCGTCTCCCGCTGCTTCTTCTGCAGCCAGCGCAGCGCGTCCGTGATGTGCCGCTCCTCGATGGCCACGTAGGCTCTGGCTTGCCCGAAGGACTTGAGGACGAACGCCGTCAGCCTGTGAGCCAGAGAGATGTTGGAGGGATGGGAAACCGGGGCTGGGGCACGCTTGGTGGCAGGAGGAGCCCTGGGGTGGCTGGTCCCCGGAGGGATGCTGCTCCACCGCCTGCGTGACTCCTTTGTGGTCCCTCACCAGGTATTGCCGCTGGGATCCATCTTCCCAAAGGCACTGTAAGAGCCATCGTCATGTTTGTAGAGCAGCTCTCGCTGGTAGCCTGTGGAGAGGAGATGGCGATGAGTCTTTACACGGTGGTCTTTACATCCCCAGGGGATCCTAGCGGCAGCCCAGACCCACCCCGGGACGCAGGGAGAAAATGGGGAGGGGGGATATGGAGCAGTGGTGTCCCTTGGCAGCAAGGCAAGGTGGGATGAGGAGATGAGGAGACCGGGGACGCTCACCGCTCTGCAGGAAGGCCTGCGCCTTGGCGCGGATGTCGGGGTGCAGCTGCCCGCTCTTCTCCAGGTACTGCTGGATGTAGATGTTGGGGGCGAAGCGGACCATGTTCTGCTCGCCGCAGCCGTAGGGCATGGCCAGGAGGCTGTCCACGTTCTGCAGAGCATTGCCCATGATGTCACCTGTCCCAGGGGGATATGAGGAGCACTGTCACCGGCTGTGTCCCCTGTATCTCCTCCCATCTCAGCTCTGGGTGGTCCCACCTCCATGCTGAGCTTGGGCCATGGAGCTCTGCACCCTCCCTGCCCCAGGTGGTCCCCGGCCAGTCCCTTACCCATCACGGTGACGTGGGCTCGCTGGGAGCCCTCCAAGATGTTTGCAGGAACCTCCAGGGAGATTTCTTCAGTGGCTGTGGGGATGGAGGGCAACAACAGTGGGAATGCCCGGCTCCTCCTGGCCTGGCCCCGCGGCACCCTTGCCCACCCCCTTCCTGCTCTGAGCAGGAGCTCCTAGGGACCCTGGTCCTTGGCTCCTCTGGCCTGGTGGCCCTTGGGACCAGTGGTCAAGCATCCCTGCCCCATGTCCCCATGGCACTGCCAGACACACCCGGCCGGTCCTACCTTCCTGGCACAGCAGGGAGTTGTGCGCCTTCTCCACCAGGATCCCCCCGGGCTGTGGGGAAGCAGTATCAGAGTCGGTCAGAAGAAGGGACCAACCATGTACCCCTGTCCCCCTGGGTCATGCCTGCAGCCGGGGCTCAGGGCTGGGTGCCGTCCCGCTCCCGGTCCTCCCGCTGCACCCCAAGGGCTACTCGGACCCTGTCCCCAAACCCATCCTGCTTTCCTCCTCCATAACCCGTCTGACCTGCACCAGCAAGGGCTTTATCACGGTGTCCACACGCCCCTGGGCTGGCACCACGGGTATCTCGTTGCCACAGAACTCCTTGGAGCTCAGGGCCTCGGTGCTGACAGTGATGTTGACCTCCCCTGCAGATGCAAGCGGGGTGCTCAGTCCCCACAGAGCCCCCCAGCCCACACTGCAGCCCCACGGGCTTGCATCAGCCACAGGGCTTTGTGTGGGACTGGCTGGATTGGGATGGGGGTCACCAGGTTGAGGAGCAGTGCTGGGAGGCAATAGGGAGGGTGAAAGTGAAGAGGAGGAGAGCTTCCCAGGTGGCATTGCATTTGCTCCTGTCCTCCTTGCCCACCCCATCCTCTGAGGAGGTCCCCAAGCAGCAGGACAGAGGGTCCCACCATTGCCCTGGTGCTCTGTACCCAGGCTGGTGGCTCGCACGCCCCATCGGAAGGTCCTTGCTTCATCTGCACAGATGCAACTACTGTACGCCTCGTCCGCGTTCGCCGACACCTCCAGCTCTGATGACTCCGCCAGTGTCACCTGGAACTGCCAGACCATGGCCACGGCTCCATCAGCCCCCGCCGGACCCCAGCCCCAGGGCCCCCTCCCCAGCCCCACTCACCCGTAGGCATTGCCGCAGGTAGTTGAAGACGGTGGCCACGAGGGTGAAGGCTTCGTGACGGACCACGGCGTAGGGCAGCGCCAGCTCCACGAAGAAGGGCTTGAAGGCCGTGAGGGTGGTTGCAGGGGCCATCCCGAAGCCCATCGGGGATGTGCAGAACATCCTGGCTTCCCACTCGGTGATGGCGTCAGGCACCGTCACTGCCACCTCTGTGGAGCCCTCCTCCCTGCAGGATGGAGAACATCGTGAGGCCATCCCACCACGTTTACCCACAGCTGGTGTCATCCCCAGCTGGGCTGGCCCTCCCTAGGGGAGAAGGAGCCATCCTGAGGTCCCCAACCTCCCTCCAGGCAGGAGGGGAGGTAGGGAGAGAACCAGACCTATGGGGACTGTCCTCACTCACCCCACGGGGACCAGGTCCCACAGCCATGTCTCTGGGAAATACGTCCGGGGTGCCGGTTTCTCTTCTTGGACAGCGGCGGCTGGACTAGGATGGTTCATTACGATTCCTTTCTGCAAATAGTAGACTTGGGAATCAAAACCACCTGGAAAAGGCAGAGCAGAAATTAGGGTCCAAAATCCTTTTCGATACTCTTCAACCTCTTTGATGCCGAGTGTATTTTCGGGGTGGTTCCGAGTCCCCCTGAGGACATGGGAGCCAGGACTGGGCATCAGCGCTTTGCTCTTTTCTCCTGAGAGGGCTCAGCGGAGCGAGCCAGCTGAGGGCTGTGCTGACCTCTGGGACCTAGGTGAGTCGATACCCTGCGCATGTTGAACATCTCTTTGCAAACATCGCTGGTGTTGGCATTGGTGAAAAGTTTCAGTGCTGCGTTCTGTGAAAAAGAAAAGAGGTTGTCCATCTCTGAACCCCAGTGGGAGGAATATCCCCATTCCAGCAGTAAATAGTCACAGGGCTGCAGAAGAAGACAAGTGGAGAAGGACTGGAGCCTGGGGTCTGCAGGAAAAGACCTTTGCCACGAGTGTGGCTTTCATGGAACGTTGCTGTGCTTTCCCGGCAGCCTGGGCAACCACAGCTGGCTCCTGGATGAAGACAAACCAGCACCTTTACCTGAAATAACTTGTAGGTTTCCGTCTGGGAATTCCTCCAAAAAGGGGGATGTAAGTGATGCCTCCTCGGAGGGCGAAAGAAGCCTCGCTCTCTCGGTAGAAGTGGGTTGATGGGAACAGGAAAGTCGGGCGGATAGCCCCAGGAAAATGCTGAACAGGGTGCTGGGTCTCGAATGCTTCCAGGGTAGTTGAAGGTGGGGAGTACTTTGTAGACCTGGGAATAAACATGCGTGCCGGGTACAAAACCAGGCAGGCACCTACCCCCTGCCCAGGAGTGGGACTGCCCAGGAGCCACCATGGCACCAAGTCCCCGTAGAGGAGGTCCAAGCCAATGTCATCTCTTCCTCCCCGCCCCGTCCCCAGCTGGTCCCAGGGGCTGCAGAAGGGGACCTGGGCAATGCCACCACTCACCGCCTCTGCATTGAGCTCAGCCTCGGGCTTCAAGAGCAGCACGCTGCGGTCCACGGCACGGACGGCACACAGGGACCCTGGGGCAGCCTCCAGCTCCAGCTGCAGCGCCGCGCCGGGCAGAGCCCTGTCCTTCGAAAAAGCCATCTTCACCTGGGAAATGACAGGGACATCAGGGGACAAAAGCGGGAGGGGGAGCCACCTCCAGTGGAAGAGCAGGGCCAAACCACAGACATGGAGGTCTCTTCCAGACAAGGGTAAAATCAGGCTTGAGGGTTTGGGGATCAGGTCATGGGTTAAAGAGACTGTGAGCTGTGATACAACTAGAGCGAATGGACATAAGGGCACGCAGCTATGGACCAGCCATGGAGTGATTCCCCCATCTCTAGCAGCCTCTACTCACCTTGTTGGGGAAGCACTTGGCCACGTTGAGGTCAGTGCTGTCAGCCACCATCTCGCCGTTGGGCAGCACCACATAGCCCAGCACCTTGGCCGTGGGCGCCAGCTCGGGGCCGATGGGCAGCTCCAGGGAGAAGGAACCTCTCAGCCCTGGTCCGTGGGAAAGGAGGGGAGATGAGGACCAGGCATGGGGAGCAGAGCCCTGCACAGCCCGTCTGTGCCTCCGGACCTACCAGCCTCTGCGGTCACCTCTTTCCTGAGGACAGTGGCGATGGTCCCCTTGGCCAGAACCTGCAGAGAAGGAGATGGAAACAACGACACCAATGCTGAGTGTGGAACCGAAATGCCCTGATGGAGGATGCACCGAAGGTCGAGAGCGTTGGGACGGTTTTTGACCTTGCTCGGTCTCCAGCCCCCTGAACATCTCCCATTGGAATGCAGGTCCAACAGTGCCAGAAGACACCTCTGCTAAGTCCCTCAGTCTAGCCAGGACAGATTGCTCATGGTCTTGTCCTCAGGGACATGATTGTGAACATGTGTGTAGATGTGGACCTTCACATACAACCGCCCTAATGCCTGCTGCCCTCCCTCCTGGGGCCGGGGCTCACCAGGAGGACCACATCCAGGCTCCCTGGCTCAGTCCTCAGGGCCTGCTTGCTGAAGATGTAGTCCACCCAGAGCTGCTGGGGCTGGCCACAGGGCAGCTTGCTCTCCAGCCGGCGGATCCGCAGGAAGCTCTTACTCGCCGAAAAGAAGGGGCTGAGGGATAGGTAGGCATTTTTGTAGGTGCCATCGTTCTGGGTGTGAGCTGTCTCGTTGACTTGACCCTGAGTGATGGAGTTAGAAGTCAGGGGGGTGAAGCCATCACTGATGCAGGCTTGGAGAGTTGCCCAGCCCCGTACCACCGGAGAAAGCAGCACAGGGAGCCCCGAGGGGTGGGAGATGGGGTCGCTTACACGCAGAGTGACCGTGCCACTCCAATCAGAGGTCTCCAGCTCGAAGGAGACTCTCCCTGACCTGTCCGTCAGGAAGGTCTGACTCGTATCTTTTCCTTGCTGCTGAACGACGAGCAAGAGCTGCTTCTGCGGCAGCGTGGCGCCGGCGGCTCCTGTCAGCACCATCTGAAGATGGAAGGGGAGATGCCCCAGGTTGGGCTGCAGGCGTGGGGCAGAGGGCAGGGGTGGGAGAACAGGGCTGGGGGGGTCAGCCAGAGCAGGACTGGGCGCAGCAGGATGCAGGGGAACCCTGCGGGGTGCGGGGACCACCCCCATTACCGTCCCAGTGTAGGGGATGCCGGGCTTGTAGAAATCATCGGTGTTTTCGAAGGTCACAGTGAAGGTTTCGGGTAAAATCTCGCAGCTCTTGGTGTTTTTCTGCTCCAGCCCTGTGGAGAGGGAGTGGGGAGCTGAGGGTGTTGCAGGGACACAAAGCAGAGGTTAGCTGCTGTCAGCTCCCCCGTCATGGTGCAGAAAAGGTCCGTGGACATTTTAGGCTTTCCATCTGCAGCCGGCAGCTTCGAGCACAGTTTGCACAGCCTTCAAGAGGAGCAAAACCTCTATGGCATGTTTTAGACCTAAAACCAGGGTGCAGCTGGCTGCACAGTCTTCAGAAAAGGCTCTTCACCAAAGCACCGTGATGCAGGGCCATCTCGGGCCTGGGTCTTCTTTTTTTTTCCAAGTCTAAGTCACTGGCAGTCATTTCTGGCATGACCGAAGGTGGTGGGTGAGGGATTAGCCCAGTGGACGAAGCCACACCACTGGACTGGGTGAAACCGCTGCTTTGCATTGCAAGGACCCGACTCACTGCAAGCCGTAGCATTGGGAGAATTGTTGGATCTTGAAAAGGCATTTTTGCCTCCTGACCATTTCTCTGGTCAGAGTTAGAAGTATCGCCCGGCTGACCTGGCTCATGTCCCCACCTGGACCCAGTCCCTGCGCACGTGCAACCCTAAATCACAGCACTGCTTTTGGGCTTCCCTGGAGAGGACCAATAGCCCCGTGCCATGCATTTGGGTGCACGTGGGGATGAAGGCAAAACCGTGCATCAGCAGCAATACCCGTTCCCAAGCAGGAGACCGCTGCCATCCCTACCTGTCCCATCCTCCACCAGCGATGCCTGGACTTGGAATTGCTTCTGAAATGCGGAGCCGGTCTGGTTGAAGTCAATCAACAAAAACTCTTTTGAAAAGCAGCCATTCTTCTCAGTCTGGAGTGAGAGAGTTAAGCCCGTCAGCAGCAGTCCCAGGATGGGGCTGTCCCAATAGCGCCCACGTTCCCCGGCTGTGCTCACCTGCCCGCTAACCTCCATGCAGTTCAGGGAGTCAGTATAAGGTCCGTACAGGACCCTTACACGCTGGCACAAGCTGGCCTGGACCTTCCCCTGGACGGGCTTCCCGTAGGTGTACCTGTTGGGTGGAGGGTGGTGAGGATGTGCCTGATGGACCACGTCACGTTGCATCCATCCCCTCCCTCTTCCCAGCGCAACCTCTTTCGGGCTCACCGTCCACAAATCTCCACCTGGATTTTCTTATCCTTCTCCAGCACCGCGGCGGGGAGATTAATGGTCACCTCAAACTTGGGCAGCACTGGTGGAGAAGCAAAGGGAGAGAGGGTTGTAGCTCCCAGGATAAGGGCAATGGTGCCTGGGTGGCCAGAGGGACCAAGACGTGCTGCCCACAGGGACATGCTGAGGTGGGGCTTCCACCCCCTGTGCACCTCCCAGTCCCCACATACCATATTCCTCCACGCTGAAGGAGTGTCTCTTCCCTTCCACCTCGATGACGTACGTGCCCAGGGCCGGCTCTGCAGCCAGCGGGAGGGACAGGTCCACGATGCCCTGCCGCGGGCTCACCTCCTGCCACTGCGCGATGCGGTTCCCGCTGGGATCCTGCACGCAGGGACACGCGGCGTCAGCACCCGGGGACCCCAGCACCCGGTGATGGAACAGCCCATGGCTGCATTATGCTTCTCCCTCTCCCAGCCATGCTGCCTTCCCAAGCCCGCGCCACCCAGGAGCCTCCCTCCATCTCTCAGACTGACCTTCAAGATCACGAGGGGCAGCTGCAAGGCAACGAGAAGATGGTTAGAGGAGAAATTCAAAGCCTTCCTTGGGGTCTCATCAGGGTGGGGACATCTACGGGGCCACGGATGGAGGAGAGTGAGGGTTATTTGTGGGATGCTGTGAACTTCAATTTGCTTTGGGATTGACTTTGAGCTGAGGGCACTGCCAGCATGGCATGGAGAGGTAGCATCTCCTAGTGCCTCCACAAGAAGCCAGCAAACATTTCATCTGGGAACATCCTGCACTTGCAGAGACCTGGATGATTGCTCGGGGAGACTGAACTCGCCTGTAATCCTGGCGTCTGATGACTTGATGGATATCAACAGGGCTTTCCCTGCTTCCCACTCGCCATCGCTACATCCCTAACCAGAATTTTAAGTGGGAAGGTTCCCACGTCTCACATGCAATTCTGCTTTCTCTTTCCTTAGCCTGCTTGAAGCCTGCGTGAGCAACACAGGGCATCCCTGCCCCTGGGGAGCGCAGCCACCCAGGCAGAGCTGGCGGGGGCAGGATTCCCCAGGGGAAAGGCGCTGCTGGTTGACTCCCACACCTCTCTCACGGCTTGTCGAGACTGTAGGAGGGCAGTGCAGAGGCGCCCTATCGCCTCCCCACCTTCCCCAGCCCTGCTCTCACCTTCTTATTGCTGGGAGCGAAGTCTTTATCCAAAGAAACAATTCGAAACTTCACTGGAAAGAGCAAACGGGGATGCAGGAGTGAGTGGTGGGTGCGTCAGCAGGGATGAAGGGTTCCCCATGGGGAAGGTGGATGGAAATCCACCCTGAGCCCTGCGGTGGGGCACTGCCCCTCGAGCAACACAGCCTCCAGCAGTGCCAGCATGTCCTGGCATTGACCTGGGCCAGTGCTGGGGGTCCCAGTGCATCCCAGGATGAGCCCTCCTATTTCCATGCAGTGTAGGAGCAGGGCTGAGCCTCCTGCACCCCGCTCCCACCAGGTCCTTCAGCCCAGAGCGGGGTGGTCCATCCTGCCCGCCTCACCTTGCTGTCCAGGTTTGTAGACAGCCTTGTCTGTCTGTATGAAGATCCCGGGCTCCAGGGCTCTCAGCATCACCTTCTTCTTCTCGGAGACATCCAGGGAGTCTCCCTGGATCGAGATGTGCAGGTCTACGATTTCCTCCTTCCCTTTGGCAGGGGCTGGAGCCTGCCAGGGGAAACACCAGGCATGGGGTGAGGACAAGGGATGTGTCACGGCCAGGATGCTCTGCCCACTCGGAGTGACCCAGAGCACTCCTCACCCCCAGGGACACCTTCCCCAAGCCAGGGGCTGGGAAGAAATGTCCTCCCCGCACCCTGCCCTAGTCTGTAGGTCTGCTACCGGGTGATTATTTCAGCCACCGAATAACTGAGCCTGGAGTTGTTTTGCCTGCGTGGGGGATGAGACCCTACCAAAAGATGGGGAAGTCACTCCTGGTCCCATCCTCCTCCAGCTGCAGAGGCTTAGGGCTGCGCAGCAGTGTGGGGACCACAGCCCCACGCTCAGGGGAGCTGGTGGAAACTGCTATGCCTGCAGACAACAGCGTGTCCAGGGCATCCCCCTCCACGCTTACGGCTGTGTGTAGGGTGACACTCACGGGGAAGGTGATGTTCAGGTACAGATGAGGCTCCTGGACCTTCCTCTCCAGCAGGGTGATGTTGTGGTTCCCGTCTGGTCTCTGCAGCTGGACAGTCAACTGGACGGGCTCGTGGAGGCCACTGAGATGGACCCACAGCATCGCTGTGTGGGGGTGGTAGATCACAGCTGGGGACGTGACCACATAACTCCTGGCAAGGAGAAGTGCTGAGGCGTGAGGATAAGGCACATCCCAGTACAGACCCCATGGAGGTCTTGAAGAGCTCCTGAGCACGCAGAAACTTGTGCTGGGGTGCAGGGCCACCTCCCCCCGCAGACTCCCCACTCTGCTGCTGGGCTCCCCTTGGCTTCGCCACTCAGCAGGACAAAGGCTCTGCTCACACGTGGGCTGCAAGTGAGGCAGCACCTACAACAAAACATTCCAGAGCCACCAGCCCCTGGGTTCAGGGACAACCCACCTGCCCAAATGTTTCCACCCTGGCCAACTATCGCACACATGGGAAGGATTAGCTCCCACTACGCACCGCCAAGGACCCAAAACTAAATGCCACCTGACAGGCACGGACAGACAGACAGACAGACACAGAGAGGGCTTACGGTGCTGCAGATGCCCCAGCTGTGAGGTGCAGGATGAGGAGCAGCAGGGCGCTGGGGGACCTCATGTCTCCAGCTGCAAGCGGACGCTGGGGACGGCCACAGCCTCCTTCTCCAGGTGTCCGACTGCTGTGGACCCGTGTCTGCTCTGCTACGGGCTCTGGAATGAGATCTTTGCTTTCCACCCAACGAGCAAACAAGGGGTGGCAGAGGGATCCAGCGTGGACCTGCAGATATAGCCAAGGCAATGTTTACCTTCTGTCCCCACGGCCTCCTGGGTTCAAGGCTCTGACGGATTTACTTTTTTTTTTTTTTGCAATTTGAGGCAAGATTCCCTACAGAGGTTCAGAACCAGGGGGCAGGACCCACCTACACACTGGTTTGCTGGGAAGTGATGGCAGGAGGGAGCGGGAACGGGTTCCCCAAACGAAAGTAGGCAGCACATCATGGGAACATCCTGTGAGTTGGTGGTGATTTCTCAGAAGGGCTTGTATCCCGGTGTTTCAGATTTAGCCAACCATTTGGGCTGCTAGCAGGTCTCAGGCTGTCTTTTTGCCCAGTTTCTTCCCATTTCATCAAAAGCGGGTACAGGAGCAGGATGACCTTGGGCTGTCGTGCCAGGTCCACCCATTCTCATTCCTCTGCGCACCACACCTAGGCACGGACAGACAGACAGACACAGAGAGGGCTTACGGTGCTGCAGATGCCCCAGCTGTGAGGTGCAGGATGAGGAGCAGCAGGGCGCTGGGGGACCTCATGTCTCCAGCTGCAAGCGGACGCTGGGGACGGCCACAGCCTCCTTCTCCAGGTGTCCGACTGCTGTGGACCCGTGTCTGCTCTGCTACGGGCTCTGGAATGAGATCTTTGCTTTCCACCCAACGAGCAAACAAGGGGTGGCAGAGGGATCCAGCGTGGACCTGCAGATATAGCCAAGGCAATGTTTACCTTCTGTCCCCACGGCCTCCTGGGTTCAAGGCTCTGACGGATTTACTTTTTTTTTTTTTTGCAATTTGAGGCAAGATTCCCTACAGAGGTTCAGAACCAGGGGGCAGGACCCACCTACACACTGGTTTGCTGGGAAGTGATGGCAGGAGGGAGCGGGAACGGGTTCCCCAAACGAAAGTAGGCAGCACATCATGGGAACATCCTGTGAGTTGGTGGTGATTTCTCAGAAGGGCTTGTATCCCGGTGTTTCAGATATAGCCAACCAGTAGCTATTTGGGCTGCTAGCAGGTCTCAGGCTGTCTTTTTGCCCAGTTTCTTCCCATTTCATCAAAAGCGGGTACAGGAGCAGGATGACCTTGGGCTGTCGTGCCAGGTCCACCCATTCTCATTCCTCTGCGCACCACACCTGGGAGCCGGACACTGGCCAGGACATGGACTGAGCTGCCTTTTTCTGTCCTGGTGGGAATTTAGGAAAGTAGAGGCAGCTCCATGACAGCCACCCAGTGTCCTCAGCACATCCCCTGCTCTGGGGTTTTGCAGTCCCCTTCCCTTTGGGGACGTGGGGAGAGGCAGAAGCAGCGCTGTGGGAAGCCACGAGTGGGGCTGACCCCTTCCCCGTGGGCTCCTGGATGACCACGGTTAGTGTCCCCATGCCTGTCCTGCTCAAGTATTGCTAGACACAGCCCTGTGTCACCTCCCTACCCTTTGGGAGCAACCCCATGGGGCAGCAGCGTCCAGGGAAGGTTGGTCCCCGCCACCCCCATGGACACGAGGGGGGAGCGTGGCCCTGAGCCTGTCCCGCCACCGCAGGATGCGGGCATAGGTCAGTGCCCCACTGGGCATCCTGGGGGCGGTTCAACACCGAGCCCTTCGGAGCATGGGGCGGGATGCAGCGGGGGCCACGAGCAGCGTGGCCAAGGGGAGATCGATTTGCCTCTGCGATCGGTGCCTGTGGGGCCGCCGAGGGGAAATATCGCACGGAGGATTTGTCATATGGTGCTGCTGGTGACTTCGGAGCAGGAGCCGGAGCACGTTGTTCCCCCCGGCCCCTCTGGACCAGGCACCACTGACCCCACGTCAAGCTGTTTCTTCTGCTGCCGTGGTGCCCGTGCGATGAGCGCTCTCTCTGCTTTGGTCTCAGTTTTTTTATTCAGCAAAGTGACGGTACGGCCCCTCTGACCCATCATTACGGGGGGACAGGAGTGCTGAGCTCCGAACGCAAAGTCTGTTTTGGGACACAGGGCTGGCTTTGGTCAGGGATCGTGGGAAAGAGCCTGAAGAAAGGGAGCTTGCTTGCAAGAAAAACATTTTGCCACTTTCACTTGCATTTTCCTTTATTTTTATTGGGAGCAGGGCTGTGCTTGGGACAGGCCTGAGCATCCTCTCCATGCCCAGCCATCGGTCTTGCACTGATGTCCCAAAGCTTTTTGTCAGCCCGGGCTCAGCTCACCTGCCCTGGTCCACTCTCCGAGGGATGGCACTGGCAGCAGCTCAAGGGAAACCACGACTCCAGGGTGGGCAGCAAAGCCTCTGCTCCCCGGGGAGCCCCCGACCCGCCTGGCCCGGCAGGGCTGGTGGGGAGGGGGGCTGGGGGGTGGAGGG